GCCTGCTCTGTCTAGCTGTGAAAGTCGAGCATTGCGAGCAAAGCTTGGACAAGGCCGGACGCACGGCGCGGTCTGCTGGGAGGGCCATTGGGAGTTCAAGAGGTCGGATGATGTTCGATCGGGAATCTGGATCGCCGGGACTCGATGCGACTTTCCAATTGACTTTTTGGCAGCAGCTCCCAGCAATCCGGGGTCCTCTCCCACCGACCCGACTCGCTACCTACCCAAGTGCCTAGGCGGGTCTCGTCCATCGAATGACCCACTTTGTGCTTGCTTCACCAGCCACAATTGTGCCTAGGTAAGCTCTGACGTTATGCGGGTCAGAGACCTACGTACTTACCTAGCCACGAGCGAGCCACAGTCGCGGGGGGCGGCGTCTACGACCTACCGTGGACCGACGTACCGCTGCAACCTGAGTGACTGGACTGCACCAATTGGCCAGAAATACCATCGACGGCAACCGACTCCATCTACCTCGCCAGAGTGCCAGAACACTGGACCGTGTTTCATTTTTTTTGCCGTGTTACAATCATCTACTCGATATCCAACTCTAGATTTTCGACAATCTGGCTGACTTTCGCGCATTGGTCTTCTCAGCATAACAACGGCAGCATTGGCAGAGCACAACCGAGTCCTACCCACTTGCAAAAACAACCTCGAGAAAGCAGAGCCGCGCCGGCTATCTGCGCCCAGTTGCAGCCATGGCGACTACGTCGAACATGTTCCTGTATTCCTTGACCATCCAGCCACCCACCGCTGTCACGCAGGCTCTGCTTGGTCAGTTCTCGGGAACCAAGGAACAGCAGATTCTTACGGCGTCTGGATCGCGTCTAACCCTCCTTCAGCCTGATCCCCGTCAGGGCAAGGTCAACACCCTGTTGTCTCATGACATCTTCGGCATCGTACGCGCCATCGCGTCGTTCCGTCTGGCCGGCAGCCACAAGGGTGAGTAACCTCCCCGCCACCTCCTGTGTTGGGCAATATAGTGATTCTGGATCCGTTCCCCAGGTGCTTCTGGGTAGAGGGGCCACACGTATGGTCACGCACCATGCACCCAGGCCTACGAGTCTTCTGGGGACTTGAGACTCATTCAAATCGGTAGCGGGATTGTGCTAAAACCCTGTGCCACCCAGACTACATTATCCTCGCCACTGATTCGGGCCGTATTACCATTATCGAGTATCTCCCCAAGACGAACAAGTTTCAGCGCATCCACCTCGAGACTTTCGGCAAATCGGGCGTCCGCCGAGTCATCCCCGGCCAGTACTTAGCCGCAGATCCAAAGGGAAGAGCATGCCTCATTTCGGCACTCGAAAAGAACAAGCTGGTCTATGTTCTCAACCGAAACTCACAGGCCGAGCTTACCATCTCGTCACCACTGGAAGCCCACAAGCCAGGCGTGTTGGTGCTGTCTCTTGTTGCCCTTGACGTTGGTTACGCAAACCCCGTTTTCGCTGCGTTGGAACTGGACTACACGGACGCGGACCAAGATCCTACGGGCCAAGCACGAGAAGAAGTTGAGACACAGCTAGTATATTACGAGCTTGATTTGGGCCTGAACCACGTCGTACGCAAGTGGTCAGATACTGTCGATCGCACTTCTTCACTTCTCTTCCAAGTACCCGGCGGCAATGACGGTCCCAGCGGTGTCTTGGTGTGCGGCGAGGAAAACGTCACCTATCGGCACTCGAATCAAGAGGCTTTCCGCGTCCCCATCCCCAGACGCAGCGGTGCCACCGAAGATCCTCAGAGGAAGCGGGTTATCGTCTCTGGCGTTATGCACAAGCTCAAGGGAAGCGCGGGCGCCTTTTTCTTCCTTCTTCAGACGGACGATGGAGATCTTTTCAAAGTCACCATTGACATGATCGAAGATAGTGACGGCAACCCTACCGGAGAGGTCAAGCGCCTCAAGATCAAGTACTTCGACACGATACCAGTAGCCACCAGTCTTTGCATCCTGAAGAGCGGCTTCCTGTTCGCCGCTAGCGAGTTTGGAAACCATCACTTTTACCAATTTGAAAAGCTCGGGGACGATGACGAGGAACTCGAGTTCAGCAGCGACGACTTCCCGACAGACCCTACCGCCTCATACAACCCGGTGTACTTTCACCCCAGGCCACTTGAAAATCTGGTCCTGGTTGAGAGCATTGATTCGATGAACCCTCAGGTCGATTGCAAGGTTGCGAATCTGACGGGAGAGGATGCGCCCCAGATCTACTCTGTCTGTGGAAATGGGGCGCGGAGTACTTTCCGCATGTTGAAGCACGGACTCGAAGTGTCTGAAATTGTCGCTTCAGAGCTTCCGGGTACACCTTCTGCTGTATGGACGACTAAGTTGACCAAGTACGACCAGTACGATGCTTATATTGTGCTGTCATTCACAAACGGGACATTGGTGCTCAGCATTGGCGAGACGGTAGAAGAGGTCAGCGATAGTGGTTTCTTGACTACGGCGCCCACCCTAGCTGTGCAGCAAATGGGTGAGGATGGTTTGATACAAGTTCACCCCAAGGGCATTCGCCACATCGTCCAAGGTCGTGTCAATGAATGGCCTGCACCTCAGCATCGCTCGATTGTTGCTGCCACGGCAAATGAGAATCAGGTTGTCATCGCCTTGAGCTCTGGCGAAATCGTCTACTTCGAAATGGACTCGGATGGTTCGCTCGCCGAGTATGACGAAAAGAAGGAGATGTCGGGCACCGTCACATCGCTGAGCGTCGGTCAAGTACCGGAGGGCCTGAAGCGAAGCTCTTTCCTAGCTGTAGGATGCGATGATTGCACAGTTCGCATTCTTAGCTTGGACCCTGATTCAACACTCGAGATGAAGTCCATCCAAGCTTTAACAGCCGCACCCTCGGCTTTATCAATCATGTCGATGGAGGACTCGTTCGGTGGATCCACGCTCTATCTGCACATCGGATTGCATTCGGGCGTTTACCTTCGGACTGTGCTGGATGAAGTGACGGGCGAACTGACAGACACTCGTCAAAAATTCTTGGGTCCCAAGCCTACCAAACTTTTCCAAGTATCAGTTCAGGATCAGCCATGTGTTCTTGCGCTGAGCTCGAGGCCATGGTTAGGCTACACCGACCCACTTACTAAGGGCTTCATGATGACGCCCCTAAGTTACACCGAGCTTGAGTATGGTTGGAACTTCAGTAGCGAACAGTGCTTGGAAGGCATGGTTGGAATTCATGCCAACTACCTAAGGTCAGTTTGTTCCAAATTGTTTGGCGTCCAGTTATATGATGAGAAAAGTGAACTCTATGCCCTCGGGTAATGAGGTGATTGAAGCAATCATATGTGATTGTACCAATTGTTTCTTTCCAATACAACCCGATACACCCATCCATTTTGTACATCCTTATCTTCACAGACACTGACATTGAGTGCAGAATCTTTTCAATCGAAAAACTGGGCGACAACATGATTCAGAAATCCATTCCTTTGACTTACACACCTAAGCACTTGGTCAAGCATCCCGAACAACCATACTTTTACACTATCGAATCCGACAATAACACCCTCCCCCCCGAGCTGCGGGCAAAGCTTCTGGAGCAACAAAGCAATGGCGACGCAACGGTACTGCCGCCAGAGGACTTTGGATATCCCAGAGCCAAAGGCAGATGGGCATCGTGCATCAGCATTATCGATCCTATCAGCGAGGAACCGAGAGTCCTCCAAAGGATTGATCTTGACAACAATGAGGCGGCAGTCAGCGCGGCCATTGTACCTTTTGCCAGTCAAGAGGGTGAAAGTTTCCTGGTTGTCGGCACGGGCAAAGATATGGTCCTCGACCCACGTCAATTTACCGAGGGCTACATCCATGTTTACCGATTCCATGAAGACGGCCGGGACCTGGAGTTCATTCATAAGACCCGAGTAGAAGAGCCCCCTTTGGCACTCATTCCGTTCCAGGGTCGTCTGCTTGCTGGCGTCGGCAAGACACTCCGTATCTACGACCTCGGTTTGAAGCAACTGCTCCGAAAAGCTCAAGCAGATGTGACGCCCACTCTCATCGTCTCCCTACAAAGCCAGGGTAACCGCATCATTGTCGGCGATCTCCAGCAAGGCATCACGTACGTTGTCTACAAGGCCGAGGGCAATAGACTCATTCCCTTTGCTGACGACACCTTGAACCGCTGGACAACCTGCACCACCATGGTCGACTACGAATCCGTTGCCGGCGGCGACAAGTTCGGCAACATATACATCGTCCGTTGCCCAGAGCGCGTCAGCCAGGAAACTGACGAGCCTGGATCAGAGATCCACCTGATGCACGCCCGCAACTACCTTCATGGCACACCCAACCGCTTGAGCCTCCAGGTCCACTTCTACACTCAGGACTTGCCGACCAGCATATGCAAGACCAGCCTAGTTGTCGGTGGTCAAGACGTGCTGCTCTGGAGCGGCTTGCAGGGCACTGTCGGTGTCTTCATTCCCTTTGTCAGCCGCGAGGATGTCGACTTCTTCCAGAATCTGGAGAATCATATGCGCGCTGAAGACCCGCCGCTTGCCGGCCGTGATCACTTGATCTACAGGGGTTACTATACCCCCGTCAAGGGTGTGATCGATGGTGACTTATGCGAGAGGTTCAGCTTGCTGCCGAATGATAAGAAGCAGATGATTGCCGGAGAACTTGATCGCTCGGTGAGGGAAATCGAGCGCAAGATTTCGGTGCGTGTTCCCTTACCCCCCCCCCCCCCCCCCCCCCCCCCGAATTTCGAGAAGCAATTCACTTACTAACCTGCTTGCTTTGTTTAGGATATCCGCACCCGGTCTGCCTTCTAAACATGATCACATCGTTTCTGGGTGAGAAGTAATGGCTGCGAGCTTATGGTTTAATGTATATGAAACTCCTTGCAAAGAAGCGCGTCGTTTTCACAGAAATCTGGGATGGATCAAAGCCTTGTTGTTATGTTAACTTGGATTACTGCTGTTGATTCAGCTAGGCGCTCCGGTGGTGGTGAGTGGTTTAGGCGTCAATTGTATGTACGCCGTTGTGCTTAGATCAAACGATGGAAAGAAGAGACAGAATGGTACGTGGCTAAACAAAAAGAAAAGAAGAGCCATATTGCTTGGCAATATACAAAATTTTGGGTACACAAAGCATGGCATCATAACTGCTCACGATCCAGTCCTCCTGGCTTTCAAGTCCCGATGCCCAGCTTGACTACCTATTTGCCAAACTTCGACGCAGTACTAGAAGCAGCGGGAACCAACCTCTTCACCCCACTAATCCACGTCCTTCCCATAACCCTCCCTTTCCCCTCCGTAGGCGGTTGGTTTAGGGCCTCCCACATCTCATCGTCCTCCAACGCCTTTACTGCGCTTTCCACATTCCAATCATTTCCCTCCATATACAAAACCGCCACATCATAATCCGCCACTTTGGTTTTCATCATCCACTTCCTTATCTTCTTCTTCCGTTCAACCTCCTCGTCGCTTTCTACAGGGTAAGGAGAAAGCGATACGCCGGATGGGTTGTATTCTCCCGGGATGCGGATGGTGCGTCTACCGCGGGCGAATAGAAGTGCGGAAGAACTGGAGTGGAAAGGGGAGGAAGAGGTGGAGAGAGAGAAGAGCGGGAGACGGTTATGCGCGAGGAGGACGGGAAGGGGGATCGAGTAGCGGAGGGAGAGGGAGGGGAGGGTGTCGTGGGGTGTGAGGTGGTGAATTGTGTCTGGGATGGTGGTGTTTGGGTTGTCTTGTGGAGGTTTGGGCTCTTGTTGGGTTGATGCTTTGGCTGTGAGAGAGATGGTTGAAGAATAAGGGGGCGGTGAAGAGGATGGGGGAGGAAGATGATTGTTGAAGGAGATAGGGCCGGGGTATGGTGGTGGTGTATCGTTGTCGTCGTGGGCGGCTTGTGTATTTTCAGCTCGGTAATGGTGAGAAGGAGGGCGATATTTGGGACCGCGGGGGTTTATGGGAGTAAGGTATGAAGAGGAAGAGGAAGATGATGATGATGATGGGGTTTGGCAGTAAGGACAGTAATTGCTGAAACGGGGGTTGTTCTGTTTTAGTGTTAGTAGACTGTCTATCGTGTCTATGAACAAAACATGGAAATGAAAGGTTGGTCATCAAGGTGCCTTTTTTTTTGCGTCGCTTCGCAGAGTATGGCGGCGTGATGTAGCGCTCGAATTTCAGCCTGACTGACGGCTTGGTGATACTTACATGTATACAGTTACCGCAAATTACTCGGCCGCAACAGCTCAATCGGCGATCGTCCGGGAGAGGCTTCTCGGTCTCATGGACGAAGCGGGGCACCAAGTGTAAAAGCTTTGCGCAGGTACAGCAGGCCATGGTAGAAAGTCAGTTGTCTGCGGAACGAACATTTATCTTGTCTTTTTTTTGGGGGGCAAGGTGAGAACCTGGAAAATGAGAATTTCCAGATTCGAAGATCTGGTCATGTTCGACTTGAAGGGTTGACGAATCTTCAATACGGGAACAGAGATGATTGACGTCGGTAATGTGGGGGCAAAGTGACTTATCGATAGGTAGCCGGAGGGTAACCCCGCAGCTCCGCAAATGTTCGTGGGGGCAGACCCGACGGAGGAGCTGTCAGCGGCTCTCCACAGCGCTGTCAGGGACCTGGTCTCGTTTTTGACAAAGAAAATTGTTGAGGGAACCCAGTTGACTTGCCAAACCTAATGGAATGGTAAGAATAAGCCGAAATACGTCACAGCCAGTACATCAAACCTTGGGTAGGTATAGGTACCAGTTAGGTATACATCTGAGCATCTTTACTACCTCGGTGTATACCTTTGAACCTGAGTTTGAGTCACTTCCTGGAACAGAACTCGAGCTATTGTATTTTTGTATATCATAATCCCCATTCAATAGAGATTTGTAACGGCCTTTCCTACCACGATGAGCGGTATCGGACCGTCTCTGTTCGGTTTCTTCTTACCCAACCAGGCTACGGCCAAAGGCCTCATTTATTTTGTCATGGACAAGCCGGCCATTTTCACTTCCGAGTTGTTCTTGAGGGGCATCGTGCAACATTCCCCGCTTCCGAGCATCATCACCTCTTGAATGAGCAGAAAACAGGAGTGATTGCGCAAAACTCGCCGACTTCTTGGACATCAAGCGCCCGGTCTGAGGCAAAATCTATTAAGCCACGGATTTCGAAGCTGACGAATCTTGGTAGACCAAAGCTCTCAATCAACCACCTGCCAGATCCTGCCATCTTTGGAGGATGCAGATGTCGTTTTATTCTCCTGAAGGGCAGCTTTCCCTTAGCTGTCATTAACTACTACCCTCAGTTTCCATTTTCTTCTCTGACGCAATGTCAATCATGACCTGTCTTCTAACCAGCCAGACGGCACAGCACAACTAGCCCGGATCACCATCAACATTGTTTTTGCTTCTGCGCCCCGAATGGAGACTCTATGGCGTGATATAGCTGGAACAACACGTCGCCAATGCGACCGATATGACTGACCTTTGCGCAGCAGAGACGTCAAGCTAATAACAAAGCCCCATGAACCGCATTCTGAACTATATGACGGGATGTAAGCCCTTCGGTTCCAGAAGGGCCATGACCGTGGGGTGATTCCAATTTAGCATCGCTTCTAGGGCCACGAAAAGAACAACTCTTCAACGATACCGAGAGGAAAACAGGACCGGACGCGCGGTAAGCTAATGTACATAATGTGTCGAGCCCTATACTAAGTAGGTTTGGAGGATAACAAAGCGAAGTAGCATCGGCGAGACCGCTGTTGATTCCAAAGGAGTGCCTGGTTCGCCCATTGCCCTTGCTTTTCATGTTGCCCTAAGGAGACTGGGAGAGGAGGCAGCAAAGAGGAGCAAAGAGAAAATAAGAGCTGAACCAAGTATCAAGGCTGGGCCCATTCTCCACGCCTGATCAGTCGTTCACTTGGAGCAAAGTTCTCCAGATCCTGGAAGTTACTGTGACTCGTTGTGGGGTAGCAAGCAAGGTATGGCACGCGACCGTACATACATGGGTATACACTAGAGTCAATGGGGTGCAGCATGAAGATATGTACTGCGTACCTAGAAGACGCCGCGGTAGAAGTGGGGTTGGGTTCCGAGTCTACGGGATAGATGGGTCTCGATTCCACTTGCTCCCCTGGCTGATGATTGTAAGAACCCGGCCCAGGGCTGTGTTCCCGGTTATGTAACGGGCGGAGTTTGGGGTCTGGATAGATACTTATGTTCAGAGCACTCGTCTCGAGTTTTTGTCAAAGTCAGCGGAAGCTTGGTCACTCCGTCTGAATACCGCGGTCCTTCACATTTTGACTTTTGCACACCACTCTCAAAAGATCTACAAGTCAACTTCGTATATCATGGCGGTGAGATTGCCCGTGTATAAACCGAGAAAGAGATTGAGTCATTACGATTTTAACAGATGATATACAAGGTCTCATACCCCCAAATCGTGCTCTTTGGCGATTCCCTGTTTCAGGGTGCCGCAAGTCTTGAGGATGGTTTCTGTTTCCAAGCTGCCGTTCAACAGCGTACGTGTTCTGTCAGCCGCTCACAAGTCTCGTATAGTGAGCTTACTGACTCACCTCCAGAGGTTCTTCGCCGATTTGACATTGTTAACCGTGGTCTCTCCGGTTATAACACCTCCAATGCCCTGAAGCTCTTGCCCCAGATCTTCTCACCGCCGGGTCCAGGCGTGCCCAAGCTTGCCTACCTTGTAAGTCCAAACTCTTTCGTTTTACAGAAACCAACTTTGTCTAACCAAGGGCACAAGTTCGTCCTTTTGGGTGCAAACGACGCTGCCCTTCCCCAGCCTGTCAACAACCAGCACGTCCCTCTAGACAAGTACAAGCAGAACCTCGTCTCTATCATCACCCACTCCAACATCACCGCCCACAACCCCAAGATCTTTCTTATCACACCACCACCCCTGGACGAGCTGAAGGCATCCGAGGTCGAACCCGGCGTTCGCAAACACCGCGTCAGCGCCTCTTACTCCGAGGCTGTCCGCCAAGTGGCCGCTGAGCACTCGGTCGGCTTGATCGATCTCTATAAGGCTGTCATGGACTACGCCATCTCCAAGACGCCCGGGTTTGACAGGTCCAAGGGTAATCTGGGTGATCCCGAGACGGGAGAAAGGGGCCATCTGAAGAAATTGCTGCCGGATGGGTTGCATTTGAGCTCAGAAGCATACAAGTTGTTGTACGAAGCCGTGAAGCCGCATCTGGGTAAGGAGTGGGAGGGGACGAACGCTGCGGAGAGGGTTGGCTATGTGTTGCCGGACTGGAAGGTGGCGCCTTGGTTGGAGGAGGATGTGTTGAAGCCTTGAACTTGTACTAGCGAAATATGTGGTCGTTGGCGAAGAAATGATGCTACTAGATGCTGCGGGTCAAAGTTCAGAGCAGTCCGTTCCCATTCCAAATTGCAAGTAGATATCATTTAAAGAATCGTGTCAATCATTGTGGGGGTGTGATAATAGTTGAGACTAATGGTGGTGTGGGGGGAGCTAGGGTAGCTGTCGCGGCGGGGGCACTTATGTCATCTGACGTCGGCTTGTTCACTTCCAAAATGAAAAAGTGAGGGCAAATTCGAGTTGGTATTTGACATCGGGCCAGGACGATGGCGTTGCTCTTCGCGATTTCAAACGGGAGGGGATGAATGGACAAAGTGCGATTAAGGGGGAGGAGGTTGGCGGCGCGGCGTGTGAGAGTAAGTGGTCCATCCGGCACCAATGTGCCAGCCCCCGCCGTCGACATGTGAGACTGCCGCCCGTGCTCTCCCGGCCTCCAATGCACCGGATTTACCTAGGTAGGTCCAGCGACCTGAGTTTCATTACCTACCTCTAGCCATCCGGCCAGCAAAAGGGCTGCTGGTGGTTTGAGTGTTTCACTGCATTACTAACAAGGCCGAATCCCCCTGCCTTGGGTGCATGGCTTGCCGGCTTCCATGGGATGCCGTCGCCCATCCGGGCATGGGACCTGGACGGGAGTGGGAGTGTGGTTGCGCCTGCCAATCCTCAGGGAGCGGGCAATGGATCACTGCAGCTTGGTTGATAAGCATCATGGGGCAGGAGCAGCCTATCAATCGCCCTTGCCGCGGACATGTCCTTTGAGAATGGCGCATTTCTTCCCAGTACCTCTACGGCTTGACAGCAAGCAGCAAGCACACCCCAGTCCCGTTCTGAGCCGTCCCGCAGGCTGGAGAACCGAGAGAACTCCACCGAAACCGTCCACGAACGACGGGAGCCTTGCCTCGCCCAGCGCAACGGCGTCTTTACAGTTCCTCTTTTTCCATCAATTTGCACCTTGTCTGCTGCTTCTCCATCCTCTGCTCGCACGCACCACCTCAACACTTCTCAACTGAAAGGAACACACGCACCAAAGCACGCACCGCACACAGAACGTCGAGTCAATTCAGACCTTGACTTCAGTTTCCCTTTGTATCTTCCGAGTCAGACGTACCACACCGTCAACGGCCTCGAAACAGGTTCCTTTCTCTAGCGCGCACTCGCGTCCCCAGGCTCTTGTTCTGCAATCCGGTAGAGCGCTAGACTCGGGCAACATCCTTCGGTTCCGCCATCCACAAAGACGTCAGGTCAACAACGCCGGCCTCATCCCTCTACATACTGACCACCGCGTCCCGTCCTTCCCGTCGACCCCCGATCACCGCTCCCGCCAGACGTGCACTTGACGTTTATTCATAGACGCCATCGAAGCTTTGTGCAAAGACCGTCCCCCCGCCATTCTCTTGGGTGAAATAGGCCGAACGACATTCACGCCCAAGCTCCACCTGCGGCCATACCCAGCTTGTCCGTGGTGGATCGAGAATACTCTCAAATCTCGAATTCGCTCGCTGCTCCCGCGCCAACCCATTACCCCTCGACATATCTTCTTCCTGGCCTCTCTGCAAGCCTTACTCTTTGGCACCCCCCTGACAATTCCTCCTGTCGCGCTCGTTTGTGGTGCTGGTCCCTGTTGAACGCCTTATACGTCTCTCAACTCGCCTTGGCGACCAGCAGCCACAATCCGACAACAGTCTCAACCCGAACCCCTCACGCTTCCGCTATCAGCTCAGTGTCTCCAACGCCACCCAAACTGTACAAGCAAAAAGACTTACGTTGGTAGTGTCTAGCGAAGGATACACTCAGGTGTGTGGGAACCATTGCACAAGACCGCGGTGGTCCTTTGCGGGCGATGAGGGGGAGGGTGGACCTCGATATCTGAATTGCAGACAGGGTCGAGGTCATATCAAGACGGCCTCCAGCTTGCGACAGGCACAGTCATACACCAGTAGATACGCTTACAAGGCCGTAGTCAACATAGGAGTCGCAACCCGTCCTTTCCTTGGTTCATCCTAATAGTATCTTCCGATCCCTCCACTCCGCCAGCTACACTGGGCACATATATCCAACGTCCACAATTTGCCATCACTCCTCCGCCCTCACCATCTGGGTATGGATCCGCGCTTCA